CAATTCCATCAGCTAGAATGTGGTATCAGCATTTCCATGGCACATTGAATGTGGTAGCGCTGTGGGCCATTTGATGCCTGAAATTAGTCTCTTTAAAGCATAAGACAGCCTTTTAGCCTCTCCCAAGTTCTGGAAATGAGAAAAGTGATCCAAAGATTTAGCAACAGTTGCATTTCAGGTCACACAAAGTTTGTTGCTGGGGGCTGCATATTTTCTCCTCCTCTTTGAAAGTGGGGAGGGAAAGAATTTGATTTGGAGTATACTTGCTCCTGAAATTCAGATAGGATAGTATGGAAAGGAAGAGGCAGATACATCGCCAAAATGTGAAATAATTTAAATGAAAAGGGGGAAATTCATTCACTGTGCCCTTCCAGTACTTGTTGGATTGCAATTTATATCCGTATTTGCATGATCAGTATGCATAAAGATTATGAGATGGGAACTAAGCAAAACTGGAGGAGGGGGCAGGGTGCATATTGAACACCAGACAGTGTTCCTGCATTGCTCATCCTATCTCATCTGCGTCCCACCATGACTTCATTTCTTCCATTTCTCTGCTCTTTCCTATAAAGAGAAGACTAGATAAATGCTGGGGTGGGTTTGCTTCCTTAATCAGGACCAAGCACCTTTAGCCCTTAAAATATGGGGTCCATTTTCAGTATAACATTTCCTGAATTAATGTATTTCTGAGGTCTCTGGCTTGGTACTTATACTACTATTACAGCTATTGAATGAAAATTGTGCACTTTCTGAAAATGATTATATATCTGTTAATATTCACAATGAAGGCCATAAATTAAGTACACAATTTTCAAAAATAATGCATATTTCATTTTGGAAAACCATGTTCCCTTTTTTTTTCTGTATTTAGCTCATATATGGATCTTCTCCAATGATAGATAACAAGGTACAAGCTGTTTTCTTTCATCGTTTTTTCCCAAACGTTGACCAACAGATTATGGGTATCCTCCATTTGCTTTTGTATTTAAGGTGGACATGGATTGGGCTGATTTCCCAACCTGATGACAGTGGAGACAGGTTCATACAAAATGCTGTTACTGTGTTTTCCCAGAAAGGTATCTGCTTTGACTTTATGGAAGAGGTGGCCAAGGAAACATTTTCTAATGATATTGCAGGTGCCTTTAAAGATTTTAGTAAAATGTACATGATTATCATGAAGAGCACTGCCAATGTTATTGTCCTATATTGTGAAAACCAGGTCACTGTCATTTTTAGAATGCTGCCTTATTATACAGAATTTGAAGAGATGCCAATCAAGAGAAAAGATAAAGTTTGGATAATGCCAGCACAGATGGAGTTTACATCACTTCCCTTTCAAAGACTGCGGGGTATGGACTTTTTCCATGGTGTTATAACTTTTGCAGTTTCTTCCAAGGAGATCTCTGGATTCAATAAATTCTCTCTGGATTCAATAAATTCTCTCTGGATTCAATAAATTCTCTCTGGATTCAATAAATTCCTTCAGATGAGAAACCCAACTTCAGAAGAGGAAGATCATTTAATAAGAGTGTTTTGGGAGCAGGTTTTTGAATGTTCTTTTCTGAAAGCGAAGTTAG